GCTCCTTCTCCCCTCGGGGCTCCCCCCTGCCCGACGCCCGCCCCAATGTCCCTGCAGACTCCTCCACGCGCCCCTTGCCCCATCCCCTTTAATGCTCCACGCCCGACTCTCTCCATACCCACCTGTAAGCCCATGTTCCCACCAGCAGGGCCCTCCATCCGCGACCCCCGTGTGCCAGCCCCCCACGCCCGTGTCGTTGCTCGGTCCCCCTTCTCCCGCGGCATCTGCACTGTCGGTCTCCCAGCGCGGGGCCCACACCCCCGCCTTCCCCAGCACCCCCCTCTGTTGCTCTCGTCCTGCTGCGCCCGCACCTTTAGCCCCCTCCCTGCCGCGGTCCCGCTTCAGCATTTATCTTCCCATCCTAGTACTCCCTCATCACCCCTTCCCTGAATATTGCTGCTGCTTCTAGGTTCGAAGCTAAAATGCAGTGGTTAAGACCAGGGCTGGAGCCTGACAGGCCTGACGTTGAATCCCATTTCCTCCACTGACTGAGCTGTGTGATCCTGGGCAAGTTGCTAAGTTCTCTGGACCTCAAAATAGTCATATGTAAAATGGGGATATTAGTTACCTCTTAGGGCCGGTGTGAGCATTAGATATATGGAAAGCTCTTAGAAGAATGTCTGGCAAAGTGTAAGCCCTCAGTAAATGTTAACTCTTATTCTTAACCTCGTGGGTGATACAACCCCAGTATCTGCTTCCCCACAGTGACTTCTTCTCACTACTGTGTTTGCCCCAAAAAGTTTCCTCTAATTCTTAGGATTCATCCCTTCCCGTCACCATTTTGATCCTTTCCCAGCTCTCTTTTCACACCAATTAGTTTTACCCAGGCCAAAGCAGAACTGTTCTTATGTTGTCTCTCTCAGTTCTGAAGGACCCCATCTCTGCTTAATCACCCGGAGATGGGTATGTGTGTGTGTGGGATGTGTGGTAGAGAGAGATCTCCAGCCACTGGCCTTACTTCGAGTGACTACGGTAGGGAGAGTGACGGTAAAGCTTCTAGAAGTAGTCTATCTACTTAAGGAAAAAAGTCTCCGGAATTAGGTCTGCTTAAAACTATTTTCTGATCCGACTGTTCTTACTCCTTCTCTATTATTGATTGTATACTGCTTAAGCTCCTGTTGCTCTCTGTCATCCAGCCCCATTCAGTTCGCTCTGTTTTTGTAACAGGACTCAATCCCTCATGTCTCTCCAGGCTAGCTCAGGACCCTTCTGAGCTGTTCAGGGGTGAGAGTGTAGTACCACCTAGGCTAAGTTAGGAAAGAGAACTGGAGTGGATAGGGAGACAAGCTCTGGACTCATTTCTCTAGCTTTTCTTAGGTGCCAGTGATGTGGCCTGCTCTGGGGCTACATTGTTATCACCCCTCCTGACACTGGCACAAGTGAGATAAAGGGGAGGGATGGGTAATTTTTCCCAAGCAATGGAAAAGAGAATCCCCAGGTTCTGGGTTTGAATGATAATAGAATGATTAGCTAGCACCATTTCTCTTCCCTCTGGAATTTCCCCACCTGCCTGCAAGTTCGTTAGTGCTGTTAGCCTGTGGTGTTGGGTTTGATAGATGAGGAAGATTAACAGACACATGAGTTTCCTCTTATCTGATATTTTGTTGGAGCACGGGACTTCTGGGGCTTTCCGCCCCTTCTTCACAGGACGAACAGAGCTCCTGCTGGCTGACCAACTGCTCTGTCACGGGTTGGGAACTCCTTTCAGAGCAGGTTCATTTTCAGCCTCCTGGGCTGTTTGGCCTCTTGTCGATGGGAAATTTGTTCCCTTCCAGACCTTGGATATACTGCTTCAATTCTGAGCTTAGCTCAGGGAGGAGAATTTAGACAGTATTCTAAGAAAGGGAACAGGCTGTGAAGCTGACGTATGAGACTCAGATTATGTTGTTCTTCTACAGGAGCTTTTTTTTTGGAGAACAAACCATCCTGTGAGCAGGAGGTAAGAGAAATGGGGTGAAGAGGGGAATGGATTAATGACACAGTTTCAAGGAGAGAAATAACCATTGATTTCTGTCTTACAGGTAGTGAGGGCAGAGATTGTGAACTTTGCTGACCTCTGATGTGAGGAGCTCAGCCAGGACCAAAGGTGGAGCCTGGCTAGATTTGCATCCTGAAGCCATGGGCCAGTGGGCCATGGTGACCTGAGACCAATGGACTCTGTCCAGTTGCCCCCTGTTGCCCCTTCTACCTCCCCTATCCTATACTAAGGGGACTTGTGCCCACCTTTTCAGGGAACTGACCCTGCAGGAATCCCTTTCCCCTCTTTTCATATCCTTCTACCCTCCCAAGAGAGCCTCAGCCTATAGAACTCCCACCTCCCATCCCCTAAGGTGGTCCCCATCCCTGCCTCACCTCCCCCGCCATGCTCAAGCTGTGGAAGGTGGTACGCCCAGCTCGGCAGCTGGAACTGCACCGCCTCATACTGCTGCTGATCGCTTTCAGTCTGGGCTCCATGGGCTTCTTGGCTTACTACGTATCCACCAGCCCCAAGGCCAAGGAACCATTGCCCCTGCCCTTGGGAGACTGCAGTAGTGGTGGGGCAGCTGGTCCTGGCCCTGTACGGCCTCCAGTCCCACCCCGGCCCCCCAGGCCGCCAGAGACAGCACGAACTGAACCCGTGGTCCTTGTGTTTGTGGAGAGCGCATACTCACAGCTGGGGCAGGAGATTGTGGCCATCTTGGAGTCTAGCCGTTTTCGTTACAGCACTGAGCTAGCACCTGGCCGAGGGGACATGCCCACACTGACTGATCATACCCGTGGTCGGTATGTCTTGGTCATTTATGAGAACCTGCTCAAGTATGTCAACCTGGATACCTGGAGTCGGGAACTGCTAGACCGGTACTGTGTGGAGTATGGTGTGGGCATCATTGGCTTTTTCCGAGCCCATGAGCATAGCTTGCTTAGTGCCCAGCTCAAGGGCTTTCCCCTTTTTCTACATTCAAACTTGGGGCTCCAGGACTACCAAGTGAATCCTTCTGCCCCACTACTGCATCTCACACGCCCCAGCCGCCTGGAGCCGGGTCCACTTCCCGGTGATGACTGGACCATCTTCCAATCCAATCATAGCACATATGAACCAGTGCTTCTTGCCAGCCTTCGACCAGCTGAGCCCCCGGTGCCAGGACCCTTACCTCGCCGGGCCCGGCTTCCCACTGTGGTACAGGACTTGGGGCTTCACGATGGCATCCAGCGGGTGCTCTTTGGCCATGGCCTCTCCTTCTGGCTTCACAAACTCGTTTTTGTCGATGCTGTTGCGTACCTCACTGGCAAGCGCCTCTGCTTGGACCTTGACCGTTACATCTTGGTAGACATCGATGACATCTTTGTGGGCAAGGAAGGAACCCGCATGAAGGTGGCTGATGTTGAGGTCAGTCTTTCTTTTTCCTGACTCATTTCTTTCCTTAGAAGCTGTTTCAAGCTCTGTCCTATCAGACTCCCTTCCTTGATTCTGAGCTAGTCATAGATAACGCTCCCTACCCTTTCTAGGCAAGAAGAATGCTACTTCTCATTTTTCTCCTTCTTAGTCTCCTGATTTCTCATGTCCCTGCTACTCTTTCAGGCTCTGTTGACCACCCAGAACAAACTCAGGACCTTAGTCCCCAACTTCACCTTCAACTTGGGCTTCTCGGGCAAGTTCTATCATACTGGTGAGCTTATTCCCCTGCTCCTTCAGCGTATCAGTCTCAGTTTGATCTGTCTCTCCACTGTCCATCCTCCTGGGCAGACAGGTTGGAGAAAAGGGGCAAGATTTGGGGTCAGAATGCTGTGAGGAGCTAGCAGTGGGTATGAATTTAGGTTAGCATGGGTGGCTGGAGGGCAGGTTGGCAATCGGGAAAATAGACAGTCTTAGGTGGGCAGAGGTCAGCAATGTTGTCCCAAGGATGGAAAGTGGTCAGTGTTGTTACAGAACAAAGGAGGGCACAGGGGCTGACCGGCCGTGGTCAGTGGTCAGTGTGTGGTCATAGGGACAGAGGAGGAGGATGCAGGGGACGACATGCTGCTGAAGCACCGCCAAGAGTTCTGGTGGTTCCCCCACATGTGGAGCCACATGCAGCCACACCTGTTCCACAATCGCTCCGTGCTGGCTGACCAGATGAGGCTCAACAAACAGTTTGCTCTGGTGAGACCCCTGGATCTCTTCCCCATACTTTCTCCCAAAGATGATGCTTCCTTCTCAACCTTACCCTAATGGGGTACCCTTTCCCCACCCTTTCCATTTTACTTTCTGTGGAGGCATCCCCACCCTCTTTACCCTCTACTACCCAAACCTCACCAGGTCCTGGTGAGAGTCTCTGCCATTCCCAGGAGCATGGGATTCCCACGGATCTGGGGTACGCTGTGGCCCCCCACCACTCCGGCGTGTATCCCATCCACACACAGCTCTATGAGGCCTGGAAATCCGTGTGGGGCATCCAGGTGACCAGCACTGAGGAGTATCCCCATCTCCGCCCTGCCCGCTACCGCCGTGGCTTCATTCACAATGGCATTATGGTGAGGGACTCCCAATACAGACTTGAATCAAACTCCCACATTTGGACAGCCTCCAACATGCATTGTCCAAGTTCGTCCATGTAATAAGGGGTAGAGAGATGAAAAGTCATAATGCACGTAGCAAGAGCTATGTTGCTGTAACTTCAGACTGAGTCCTCTGCAAACCCAGGGAATCCTAATGCCTCAGGTCTTTTGTCCTTAATCTACTTCTCATTCTACCTTTCAAATCTCATCTGTCCCTGTCTGTTCTTTTCCCTTCAGGTGCTGCCACGGCAGACGTGTGGCCTCTTCACTCACACGATCTTCTATAATGAGTATCCCGGAGGCTCTCGCGAACTAGACCGGAGCATCCGAGGTGGAGAACTCTTTCTGACAGTGCTGCTTAATCCGGTAAGGTGCCGAGAGGAAGGGCTAGAAGATTGGACGGCCAAAGTGTTTGCATACTGAGACTTTTGCTCACCGAGCCCACTTCTGAAGTGGGATAGGCTCTCCAAATCTGACATGCAGGCACCCCCTTTCAGATCAGCATCTTTATGACTCATCTGTCTAATTATGGAAATGATCGGCTGGGCCTGTACACCTTTGAGAGCCTGGTGCGCTTTCTGCAGTGCTGGACACGGCTGCGCCTACAGACCCTTCCTCCTGTCCCTCTCGCACGGAAGTACTTTGACCTCTTCCCTCAAGAGCAAAGCCCCCTTTGGCAGGTATAGGTGGAACTCAGGCTGACCTAGAGACGTGATGGGGGTGGCCGTTGAGGAAAAGATTATCTGATTCTTGGCCTCACCTTCAGAATCCCTGTGACGACAAGAGGCACAAAGATATCTGGTCCAAGGAGAAAACCTGTGATCGGCTCCCCAAGTTCCTCATTGTGGGACCCCAGAAGACAGGTGAATCATCCTTAGGCAACTTCTGTTGCCTTGCCTTAAACCCAAAGAATTCTTTGGCCAAGGAACTCCCTTCTCATACCCACCCCTCATTAATCCAGTCCCTTGAGTGATTCTTAACTTGGTTATATATCAGAATCATCTGTTGAGTTTTTTGAAAGACCCACAAGTGATTCTGATGTACAATCAAGGCTGAGAACTACCATTTTAACCCTTCCCTGGGCCTCTCTCAGGCGTTCCTTTTCTCGCTCTAGTTTGGCCAAACGGTATTTTACCACCCAGAGTGGTTATTTTCTCACGTCTTTCAAGCTGATGTTGTTGAGGTGGATTCTCTCCCACAATGGCCTGGACTTTCTCTCCCATTTAGGGACCACAGCTATTCACTTCTTCCTGAGCCTGCACCCAGCTGTGACTAGCAGTTTCCCAAGCCCCAGCACCTTTGAGGAGATTCAGTTCTTCAGCGGCCCTAATTACCACAAGGGCATTGACTGGTGAGACCTGGAATGCTTCTCAGGACACTCCCTTCCCCTAAAATACCCCATTCCAGCTTCTCCCAGCACAGATGTCTGGCCCCTTCACTCTGCAAATTCTCTGCCTCTCCTCTCTACTACTTCCTAGGTACATGGATTTCTTCCCTGTCCCTTCTAATGCCAGCACTGATTTCCTGTTTGAAAAAAGTGCCACCTACTTTGACTCAGAGGTTGTACCACGTCGGGGGGCTGCCCTCCTGCCGCGAGCCAAGATCATCACTGTGCTCACCAACCCTGCTGACAGGGCCTACTCCTGGTACCAGGTGAGCCTGAAGCTAGGCACACATCAGAACTTAAGAGAGGTGGTGACTGCTAGAGAGACAGAAAGGAATGAGGGTAGGGAAACTAAGCTAGTGCCTTGGGGAGGGGTGCCTATGCTGTCTGTTCACTAGACTAAGAGTAAGGGCAGAACAGTGCTGTCAAATCACCAATTCCTTGCCTTCCTGTTCCTTGTCCTTCAGCATCAGCGAGCACATGGAGACCCAGTTGCTCTGAACTATACCTTCTACCAGGTGATTTCAGCCTCCTCCCATGCCCCTCTGGCACTTCGCTCCTTACAGGACCGTTGTCTTGTCCCTGGCTACTATTCCACCCATCTACAACGCTGGCTGACATATTACCCCTCTGGACAGGTACAGTTCCCCAGTAGCCCACATGGGGGTCCCCTTCCCCTCCTTTTCCCTTCAGCCCAGAGGCTTCTAAGGAATACAGAGGGAACCACATCCCTGTCCCTTTAGTTGCTGATTGTGGATGGGCAAGAACTGCGTACCAACCCAGCTGCCTCAATGGAGAGCATCCAGAAGTTCCTGGGTATCACACCCTTTCTGAACTACACACGGACCCTCAGGTGGGAGAGCATGACCCAGGGGAGGATGACTGGGGGAAATGGGGAAGCAGGTTGACCGTGTCTGTTTGGAAGAGACATGGATTTACCCTGTCTTGCAAGGAGAGACATGTGTCCCTCTGGGCTGGGAGAGGTAGTGTACGTTTATGAGGCTTGGATTTCTTTTCTGTCACCTAATGGCCTCTTCTTGTTGAGCAGGTTTGATGAAGATAAGGGATTCTGGTGCCAGGGACTTGAAGGTGGCAAGACTCGTTGTCTAGGCAAGAGCAAAGGCCGGAAGTACCCAGATATGGACACTGAGGTAAGCAAAGCCAGGGACAGGGTATCCCTTTCCACCTGTAAGATCTGATTTTGTCCACTCCTTACCATTTCTGACTTCATTTTTCTCCTGTTAGTCCCGCCTTTTCCTTACGGATTTTTTCCGGAACCATAATTTGGAGCTGTCGAAGCTGCTGAGCCGGCTTGGACAGCCAGTGCCCTCGTGGCTTCGGGAAGAACTGCAGCATTCCAGTCCGGGCTGATGTATCAGCCTCCCGTACCAGCAAAAGCCCCCTTTTTCCCTAAGGGGCAAGCCCAGAGCAGGGCCCACAAGGGGGATTAGAGTGGCCTGGCCCCTCCCCCTTCTACCTCAGTGGCCTCGAGGCCTGGGATGGCTAAGAAGGGAAGGGCATCCCTTTCCCATAGCTCTGGGGTCTAATAAAGGGGCTTCCCTTGATACCCCACAAGATGGTACTAGGCACCTTTGGCCCATGGTCTTGGAAGGTGGGGGGGGAAATGAGAGGGTCCAGGCAGGGTGTAGAGGAACGTATTAATCCAATGCTTTCCCTCTTTATCCCCAGCAGTGTATCTATCTATAGTGGCCGTGGGAGGGACCCCTTACTGTGGGATCAATGGGATCTACCTGTGGCCCGGCCTCTCTAATGTCATTCACATTGAATGGGGATGAGGTCAGACGGTGGCTCATAGAGCTGAATATGAGCCCTAGGTGTGGGCTAGAAATGAGTTTAATAAACACCCTTATTTTTCTGTTTTGTCTGCCTCACTGGAGTGGGAGAAACCTAGAATAAAAGCAAGTATCAAGATTTTCCTCTGCCCCAGTTCAAGGTTCATCCACACATGGAGGGAAAGAAGGGAAAGGCCCAGGCAGACGAGAGTAAAAAAGAAGTTTATATATTTATAAATGCCAAATAAATACCAGAGGCCACCCAACGCCCCCTCCCAGACAGGGCTGTCTCCCCCAACCCTAGGCTTCTAGGGTCTGAGACATCTTGGCCCCAAGAACAGCTGCCAGTCTGGGCTACCAGGGAACTGAGTGGGGATGATCTGTCCAGCCAAGATTCATTCCCCCTTTGTGAGGGGTCCCCATAGCCACAGGCCTGTGTCCCTGTATAGGGCCCTAGGGGGGCCAGACTCAGGGGGAGAAGGTGGTCATCTCGAGTGAGACCCGCTGCCACAGCTCCTTGGTCTGTTTGCTGCGCTTGAGATTCTGCAGGATGTCGTTGAACTGCATCATGCCCATGGGTGTCAGGCAGAAGGCGCTGCGAGCACTGCGGATCGCATTCACAAAGTCGTCGTAGTCGGCAGGGGTCAGGTGAATCAAGCGGTGGTGGATGTACTGGAAGACGTGGGGAGGATAAGCCACTAAGCACAGAACCAGGCCCCTCCACCCTGGCGTGCTGGGTGATCTGTTCCCTGCCTGCCCAGGAGGTGTTCCACCCTGCTCCATACTTCCTGGGTTATCACCTGCATGTATGCCTGCTGGCAGCGCTGCACCAGTTGGTGGAAGGCCGGGGCACGCAGGTGGTTGTGGGCATGAGCGGGGCTCAGCCGCTGCAGCGTCTCCATGACGATCTCCTGCAGCACAAACGGGCTCAGCACCCCCTTGGCTGCCCCCACACAGAACTGGTGCACGTAGTTCACTCCTGGGGGGCAGGGGGAGGGGCATGAGACGGGGGTGGCCACCTCTGCCCTAGGGACCCAACTTTAATCTCTCAGCTCTGGCCTGGCAGAGAGCCTCCCTCCACCCCAGGAGCTGAGGTAGCCCCCCGCCCCTCGCGCACGCACACATACCCGACCAAGGCCTCAACTCTGAGCAAGAGCTAGGAAGGAGGTCTGGGATGGGAAGGTGGGGGGAGCAGGTGAGGGCGGACAATGGTCCTGGGGAGGGGAGGTGTTACCCAGCTTTGCTGCCAGCCCCAGCAACCATTTGACATCATCAGTGTAGGGGGGGGAGCGGGAGAAGTTGTTGGGGTGATCATTGTGTGCCCGGCGACCCAGCATCTCCAGTGCCAGCATCCCTGGGAGAAAAGGGTGGGCACATGGTGAGGGTGCGTCCTCTACCCTCTACCTCAGCCTGGTACCTGACCCCACGGTAAACCAATTAAGAGGTATGGTGGGGAGGGGTCACGGAAGAGCCTCTAGCTGCAGGTGGGGGCACAGGAAGGGCCCTCCTCTCACCGACACGGTAGGCGGCGTGCAGGTGGTGTAGGCTGTGCGGGTTGACAGGCTGACTGTGAGTCTCCTCCTCGGGTGGTGGAAAACCCCCGCTCACCAGAGGGCTGGGCTGTGTGGGCAGGGCAGGCAGTGAGGCACCCTGGATGGCCGGAAACGTGGAAGCTGGATGGACACTGCTCACTGAGGGTGGGATGAAAGCCACATGAGGAACTCAGAGCCCAGAGAGTGACAGGGAGGATTCCCTCCCCCCCTCCCCTGCCCCGTGTGCCTCCCCTCCATTCACCTGTTCCCTGTCCCCACAACTCACAGGCCACACTGGTGGGCAGTGGGAGCCCTGGCTCTGTGTGGTAGGGATGTACTGTGATGGGTGCCATGGAAGGGACGGGGAAAGACACAGCAGTGGCGGCAAGTGAGGGGGGAGTCACCGAGTAAGGGTACTGAGCCCCCAGGAATGCAGGATGCACACCCTAGAGGCGGGAAGAAAATGAAGATTCCAAATTATATTAGGATGTAGCTCTTCCCCGTTCATCCCACAGCTGGGTATCCTGCATTTCTTATCTTAGTTAGGCTGGGTCCCCCAACTCCCGCCACCTCACCAGGACTCTTTGGACAGCCCTGTTATCCTCCCGGAGTACCCCACCCCAACCCCCTGTGAACTCCCAATGTGTTCCCACATGCCCAGTCTCCAGTAGAACATTGCATACTCACCTGTGGGTATGCAGAGCTGGGCACAGGGAAGACGGCAGGCCGGGGCATATGAGGCATGGGGTGGGCAGGGTGAGCTGGGTGGGTGAGGTATTGAGGGCTGCAGGGCAGGTGGGGCTGTAGAGCAGTGTAGGGGTGCAGGCCAGGGGAATGACCGTGCCCCAGTCCTGGACCCGGATATAAACTGGACCCCACCGAGATGACTGGCACCACTGTGGCTGCTGTCACTGCTGCTGCCGCCGCCGCCACTGTAACCGGCTCAGTCCCTGGGACCCCCCTGCCCTCAGGCAGCCCCCGCCCAGCCTCCCCAGCTGCCCTGATCCCACTGGCACTACAGCTTGTAGCCCCTTCACGGGCTGTGGATGAGCCACCTGCTGTTTGCTCATATAGCCAGAACCACTGGTGAGCAACCTCAAACAACACTTCGGGGTATACGCCCCCACCCTTAGCCGCCTCTTCCACTGCCATGCAGGCCTTCTCCAACATCAGGTTATCCTGGAAGGGAGGGGCAAAGAGGGTTAAGGGGGAAGGGCTTTACTCAGGGACAGTTCTAGATGACATTCCAATGTCTCCCTCAGAGTTGGCTGGTTCCTGGGGAGGCACCTAAGGTCAGGGCCAGTGCCCAGAGTCAGTGTCAGAGCAGTGAATGCTTCACACAATGAACAAATACTTGACCAGTAGAAGTCAAGACCCAGGTTACAGTCCCAGTTCCAAACTAATTTAGCTACTCCCAGCCAAGTCCCATCATCTCCCTGAGGCCTTCCCTAAGGACTCCATCTTGGTGATCATCTTGGTCCCTAGACTATAGGCCACATTTCCTTATCTATGAACTACGAATAATCCTGTTCTCAGAGTTGTAAGGTAAAGGATGTAACAGATGTGAAAGCACATTACTATATCAAGTGTCACCATGAGAGGACCAACTGGATAGTTTGTGAACTCCAGGATATGGGAATCAGGAGCTGGACCCAACCTCCCTGCCCAGATGCCCCAAAGCAGGTCCGCAATTGCCTGTAAAAATACCTGCTCCTTGCACTGCACCAGGGCCCGCTGGATCTCATTGGGGTTCAACGCATGGGCATGAGGCAGGCAGCTTAGGGCTAGTTCTGCCGCTGCCCTCACCATGTTGGAGTCTCGTGCCCGTGATGCCCTGTCAGCCAGGGATGCAACCTCAGGGGGTGTCAGGTGCCCATCCCAGCATTCTACCAGTATAGTCAGGGCTGCGCTGCCAATCTCCATTGCCTGGCCTTCAGGAAAAGGAGAGAAAAGCAGAGTGGGGTTAGCACGGGCAATGGGAATGGGAATGGCATCTCTCCTATCAGGTCAGTAACTCCACAAGGTTATGACTTATCACCATTGATTAATCCCCTTCCCATACCCAAATCAAGATGCTGGATTTACCTGTAATCCAGGAAACGTGGGAAGAGTAAGTACGTGAGAGCCAGTTGGGAGAAACAAAGTTGTGCAGGCCAAGGGCATAAAGCCCAATCTCGAAGGCGCAAAGGTGCAGGTTACGGTGAGGACCCTGGTGGCCCCCTGAGGAAGATGGATGTGTGAAAATGGAAGTGCTGCTGTTGCCCCCTGCCTTGATCAGCACCGTCTTCGCCAGCTCGAAGTAGAAGTGTGCAGCTGCCTCTGACGGCTGATTGGGTACATGGGGGGCATGACTCTCAGGACGGCGGCCCTTGTACCTGAAGGGGCAATGGGGTAGGGACAGGGATTGGGGTTTCTCTGAGGTGGGTGTCCAGGTAGGTTGGAAAAGACCAGGGTAAGTGAGGATGCTGACGGAGACAACAGTTGGATTACACTAGGGATGTGGCTCTCGGGGTGGGCCAGGTCAGAAGACAAGGGTGTTTCTTCCCACTGACCTGCCAACTTCAACTGTCTTCGCCCGGGCCCCTCCACTGGCACTGGCCCGGCGACTTCCGCTGGAGGACGAGGAGCCAAGGGAGTCTGAGGAAGAGCTGCTAATGCTGTCACTGTCCTGTCCTCGGCCCCAAGAGGTAGGGGCCCAGCCCCCTCGAAGTGGCCTCCGGCTTAAGGTTGGGGAGCTATCCGACGTCGTTTCAGGGGCACTGCTATCAATGCTGGCCATGCCTAATGCCCCCAAGACAAGACGGTCTCAGAAGTCAGAAGCTCCAGAATTCAGACTCCAACCTTCAGGAATATCCTTCCCTCCATATCATCCCACGGGTTGTTACCTGTGTGCTTCTTCTTAGGCCGCCCTGGTGAGCCCCAGCCCCGTCCATTGTAGCCTCCACGGCTGCCAAGTGCCAAGCGGCTGGGAACCTTTCCCTCTGGTCTTGGGGTCAAAGCTGCCTCAGATGGGAGACCCTCACAGGGGGAATGTGGGGAACTCTCTACGTAGGGAAGACAGGACATTGGGATGAGCCTGGGAAAGGGGGGCCCAACACAGCTCCATACCACACATCCCCCCTGCCCAGTGCCCCCACCTCACCAGGCACATTCTTCTCTGTGAAGCCCTCAGTGGGGCCTGGCCCAGCCCCTGCCACACTCCCTGGCTGAGCAGGCCCTGCAGAGCCTGAGGTCAGAGGTTGCAGGGCCCCTGAAGCAGATGGGCCCCCATGCTTTGAAGGAGACCTCTGGCTGGCTGTGGCTGGGCGGCTAGATGAGTAGAACGAACTCAGTGTCTGTGGTTTATGCGTCTGGCTCTCTCGGTCCAAGAGTTTGTCTAAGATCTGAAATACAGAGAAGCGGTGACTGGATGCCCTTTATCTCCTGACTTCTATTACTTTTCTTTCTCCTTGAAACAGCTTAGTACTTCCTCCTCAGGAAGACTTTCCCAGTTCTAACCACAGGAGAACCTGCTGAAAGACGGGCTGGCTTACATATCTTGGTATCCCCTA